AAAGTAATAACTCAGGTTAAAGCAGGAAACTAAGCTGAAGGTTCAGCTTAGAAGAATGAACATAACTCAGGTCTCTTAAGTTATTTTTCTTTAAAACAATTCTGTTATGGTTAAAAAAGTTGGTTAAATAAATATTTAATTGGAAGTCTGTGTTTGTGTTCTTTATTAAAATTAAATCATTTAGCAATATCATAAAACGTCCAGGCAGAGCTGCACATAAAATATGGTCTCAAATCTTTTCAATAATTATCGATATCGATCAATATGCATTTTTTTTTTTTTAAATCGATAAGCTTTTTTTCTATATCGTCCAGCCCTAATACGGATATTAATTTGTATATTATGACAAAATTTACAGTTGGTAAAAGACAATGGCAAAGCATAAAATAGGTCACCACTGACTGCTTGAGAAGATAATCTCAATTGTACTCTAGTGGTCAAGTCTGAAGGTCTTTCGAGTAACTTCCATTGCCATGGGAACAGTTTAGGAGAAGAAAAACAAAGGAAAAGTTTGTTTAAATTGACTCATTTGTACACTGGTGGTGCGCTTTGGTGGTGTGCGTGTGTGAGTAGGGGGTACGTATGGGTAATTATTACACAGCTCAGGGAAAGCCCTTAGCAGGGTTGGAAAACGCCCCCTCCACACTGCCATGCTAAACGGAGGCCCCTGTGTGGGTGGAACACAGAGGTAACCAAGTGTATGTGCCATTGTGTGTTTGGACACTCATATAGGTACTCAGGTTGCTGAGGAGAACCACAGGAAAAATATCAAAATTTAGAAACATAAAAATCTGTAAAGTATAAAAAAAAAAAATATGGTACAAACACAACTGCACACCTTGGAGACACAAATAAACCTCAATAAAGGTTTTTCCTAATGGATACAGACACACAGAGAGAGCTTTCACAGAACACTCGCAAACGCAAGCACAATTTCTCCCACTTTGAGATTGCGGTCTGGCAACCAGCTATCAAATTACAAATCCCAGACTGGAAAGGTAGCCATGGTAACTCCTTCCAAAATACCCCTGCCACACAAGAGGGGAGAAAGGGTTTCTTGCACCCCCCACCCCCCCGCCACTCTTTTTGGTCTATTCCTGTCTTTACACTGCCAATGGAGTGGAACTCCTGACGCAGACAGGGATACCTTCTCTGACGCACCTCAGGAAAACCAGGGGCCTTTAGCTGCCCCTTGTTCTTCATCCCACCCCATCCCTTGAAGCCTTGCAGCTTCCCTTGAACTTGTTACACCATGGAGCATTCTTTACCTCTGTAGCCTCTTACACAATCCTAATAAACAGTATTAATTGCTTCTCCACTCTATGGGCTAGGCGCCTCTCTCCATGATACCTCCTTGGTCTCTCCTCCATGAGGAAGATCCTGGCATGGCTGACCAATCTCTACCTCCTGTGCAGGCAGTTTAGGAACAAAACTAGAGCATACAAGCAAACACACTGTTTTGGCTCTCAGTTTGCCATAAATTAAAACTTATACTCAAATGAAGTCATCAAAAACCTTGAGCATATTTTGCTTCCCTGAGAAAAAAAGAAACCCAAAGACCAACAATTTGTTTGCATAATATTTAGAAACGGGAAAATCAAAGCTCCTAATAGAAGATCATGGAATTAGGTAGACTGTGAATGGTATTTGCACGTCTGGAGTAAGCGTGGTGTGTTCTGGAACAGCTGGAGGCCACAGTGCTGCAACAGCAGATCACCAGATAAGCAGCTGCATGTGTATTCAGAGAAAGGAGAACCAGGCATGTGAACCAATACCGCAACTGGTCTGCTGAAAACACTCCTGCGGCTGCATTTCAATAGAAAAATTAAATCAGAAGAAACTGCTAATCACTGTTAATTATCTTTTAAATGGAATCAATTAGACATGAGGCTTTGTAAAATACTGTCTGTAAACTCTGCGAATCCTATATAGAAATAAGGATCGAAACTAGATTCAAAATTATTTTAAGAGAAATGTAAAATAGGAAAAGGAAAAACATTTAATTCTCACAACAGGGATGTTTGCTTTGTCAGAGGTGTATTCTTTTACAATGTCCACCTGCCTGGTTCAAAAGGTTTCAAAACCTACATTAAAAGTTACAGGCTAAGAAAAGTGTTTACTAAAGCCAATTTATACTCCAGAAACCCGTTCTTAAAGTCTATTTTCCTTTTCAACAATATGTTTAGAGACAACTTTACCAGCGGACGTTACATCCCACAGTTAAACCAGGTGACCCCATAATTTACCTGTGCCACTAGCAGATTAATGTGAAATCCTGCATTCATTTTAATAATTGCATCCTGTTTCGGAATTTTGGAAAAATAATTTAAATAATAAAAAGGAAATACACCTGTATTCATTTATTAAGGTAAGAAAAAACGATCAAGTAGCAGTTCGCTGTTACTTATTGGGCAAAAGACTGTCTTTTCATTCCTCCTACAATTATCAAGTTGTTATACAGCTCATAATTAATGTTGAATTTTTAAAAGGTATGTAAAAAAAAAAATCTGTAATTTCTTTTGGAAGTATAAGGAAGAACTCACCAAACTGTATCCTGGTTCGGATGGCTCCTACAGGGACGTTATAGATCTTCTCCAAGTAGTTTTTGATATCATATTTAGTCATTCTGTTAAAAAACAAACAGGGTAGAGAAAAAGAGAGAAAGAAACCAGAGTTACAAAATGACTACAGGGTCATGGATTTAGGTGCAATAAGGACTAATCTGTAAATAAATGAGCCACTTTTAATACAGGTGTGACATTTGAACATTTAGTGCAATACTAAAAGGGTAAAATGTTGGTTTACGGTTCATGTTCACTTAATGGACCTTTATATAGAAATAATGCAGCCCATTTCCAAACTGCATTACTATTATCTCTGCTGTTATTTCATGTGCCGTAGCGGGACAGGACACTCGTGTACAATGCCATACTCAGCTCCTACTGAATGGACCATAAAGTGGGGAGAGGAGAAATGTGAGTGTCAGTGCTCATCCAATTAACTGTCTAGGAGTATTGATCGTGCCCAGTGAAATCCTACACAGGAAGTGGACCTGGCACCAACTGATCTGGCGGGCTAGCCCAGCTCAAGGCAGCCCACTGGGTAGAACTAGGAACAGCCTTACTTCCTCTGCCCAGAGGAAGAAAGGCTTTTAACTGCTAATCAATCTAGTCAATTGAATTAGCCCGGTAGAAAGCCCATCTCAAATGCGTTAGACAAAGTGCTTAATAGCGACGTTGTGGTCTGACAAGAGAGCCTCGGATGTGGTGTCTTCTATCACCTCATATGTTTCTTTGACAGTGTAGGACACTGTAATTTCTATTGTTTGTAAAGTAAACAGTTCAACACCTTGAGTATTTAATACCAATATTAGATGAAGCAAAGATTTGCCTGAGGAAAACCCCATCTGTGAACACAAAGACTCTTTGTACCAATGAGTGATGTAATATTTGTTTCCATGTTGTTGTTACAATTGCAATCCCTCCATAATAGGTCAAATTTTGGCAAGCTCAGAGTGAAAGAGAACAACCATGTTTGTATGCCAGGTGTATGGAGAAAGTTAGGTTTCCTTTCATTCATTCCATTCAGTTACATATTTCCACATTTGACAACACAAAAATACACAATAACATTATTTCCTGCAGTAAAAAGAGCTTTCCGCCTTCAAAAACGTTAGAAGTTTAAGCTTTCTGTCTCGCCTATGTTTTAGGACAACTTTGAGTGTCGACGTCAAAAGTTCTCTAGCTCCCTCCTACTACCATGCAATGGAAACATTTAGAAATTAAATATACAGTGAAAAAATACAAACAGAAACTACTGAAAATGAACACCTCCTCTAGCACTTCATACCAACATATGGCCCTTTAACTTCTTCATTATGGTAATATTATACAAGAAGCTAGCCTATCTTTAGAATATTGAGAAAAGTGTCCAAGTTTTTAATGTCTATTTGACCTAGAATCCTAAAAATCCAACCAAGAGGACTAATGTGCTGACAATACTTATACTTTTCTATGGGCAATGAATAGGAATACATGTTTATAAACACAAAACAGGGGTTCCACCAATGAACAGAGGGATTGTTCCTGACGCATGGCTGTAACAGCCATGTCTTGTCATGAGTTCAACTCCCAACCCCTTGACCTTTCCTGCATGTATTCCCTCCTCTCTTTCAACGGCATTTCCTGCAAGCCATCTTTAAAATAAAGGCTAGTAGTGTCAGATGAGCATCTTAAAAAAGAAAAAAATACGCAAAACAGCTCCCCAAGATGTGGGTAGCTGTAATTTGGACTTAAATTTTTCAGGTGCTTTTTGACAATGGTTTTATTTTCTATATGCTAAGGAAAAACATGGCAGCAGCCCCTACACTCCAGATGCTAGAAGCAATAAGTTCTCTAAAGGGAAGTAGTTAACTATTTATCCGATCTCTTGCTCTTCTCAGAATGTTCTGGTTTTTCTGTTTATTTGGTTTCTAGCTTGTTAAAGTAACTGAACGCAATGTTGTGAATTTAGAACAGAATGAGGCTACTGAAAACCTGTCCAGCATCTCTGCTGCTGATAAAATCACAAAAGCCTGAATGCTTGATATGGCTGCATGATGTTTTGGGACTCTGTCTTCACCACATTTTCAATTTTTGCACTATTCCTATTGCAAAAGATGGTTTGAATTCAATAACTGTTGGTTAATATTTTTCAAGTGCTATGAGCTTGCATTTTTTCATTCTTATCTAATATTTAGCCAACTGAAACAAGGCAGCGGATTTTTGGGCAAAAAATAGGTTGCCCAAATTGCTAAAAGACATGTTGTATAAAAAGCATAGCTGACAAATTTGTTACCATATTTTCACAACTATAAGGCGCATTTAAACATCTTTTTTTCCCTTAAAAATGTGCGGTGCGCCCTATAGTGCGGTGCGCCCTATGTGTGTTGTTACTGCGGACTAGAGACTGACATTTTTTCGGGAATCCCGCGGGTCACGGGATTCCCGTGGGATTCCCGTGGGATGGGAGTCAGTATTAGTAACGATCACGGGATTGGGACGGTACAGGATTAAACATTAACGGGAGCAGACGGGAGCGGGAGCAAACCAATAGTAACTTCCGCTCTGAGTTTTTCACCCGCGCTCAAAAACAACAAGAATGGGAGTGTCGCAGGAGCGGGAGTCATTCTGAATGGGAGCGGGATGGGAGTGGGAGTAATTTCACCAGGAGTGGGACGGGACAGGATTTAGATTTCTACTCTGGCCCGGGATCGGGATGGGACACCATTTTTTTCTGTGGGAGTGGGACGGGACAGGAGTGAAAATCCACTCCCGTGTCAGTCTCTACTGCGGACGTTGTTGAGACCACCATGAGAACGTTAAAGGGGGAAGTGTGGGCGTGGATTGTGCATAAAAGAACAGGTATGTGCTTTATGCAGAACTCCTCATCTCCTCATTGAGGAGATGATGAAAGAGTGGCTGAGTGAGGTGTATGTAAGGAGACCAGGTGGTTTTTTCCACGCATCACCATCGCTCTTAATCTGTGACTCCATGCGTGCCCATCTCACAGCCAATGTGAAAAACATGGAGAAACAAATGAACGCTGTGCTTGCTGTTATTCCGGGAGGTCTGACAAAGGAACTTCAACCGCTCGACATTGGTGTGAACCTGCCGTTCAAAGTAATAAGCTACTTTCACAGCGGACGCAGCAAGAGCAGCAAAATTGTGTCTGCTGCTTCATTTTTGCTGCTTGTACCAGTTAGTTCTGACGCGCGGCTGAAGCAGCTTTGCTGCTTTGGCTGCACGATGCAAAAGTGTGTCTCACGCGCGTTGGGCGGAGCTACTCTATCCTTTCTTTGCCTTGCAGCTATATTTGCTGTGATCAGTGGGAATAAAGTAGTTTTAATATGTTTTTAAGTGAGAAAGTCCACCTGAAAACTAAATCATTGCAGTCAGTTCTTCCAGATTACAATCCCACCTTCTAATATTATTTCTGTCGGAGCCGCTCAGACCCCAGCATACCAGCAGTGCGCTGTCAGTAGGAATCCCATTCAACAGCAGCCTCTGGCCGGGTCGCCTCCTCACGGTTCACCGCGGCAGCTGGTAGGTGTTTTTCATCTAAATAATCTAAACTGCAGGCACCAGGATAATAAAAGCGAACATATTCTGCCGGCAGATTTTTGCATTTTAAGTTAATTTATGCGTCAATAAACTGTTTCAGAGGAGTGATCACAGCGCTCTGTGTCATCAGCGATGTGTCTGTCTCACGGCCAGCTCCCAGGTTTGCCTAATACTTTGTAATAAATACATGAATAAAGCACAGTCATACTCAGTTTTGCTCCCGCTCTATTTTGAAGTACACAGTAGAGGTATTTAAACGTAGTAGAGGACATGTACCTGTACATAAAACCCGCGCCAGTGCGCCTTATGTGTGTGTTAAATACAGTAATGGCACACATAACTGAGACTGCACCTTTTAGTACGGTGCGCCTTATGGTCGTGAAAATGCGGTATTAATTCCTGACAGATATTATAAAAAATAAAAAAACAATGCACTAGCAAGAACGTGATGAAATGAAAAATATTACTACTCATTTCTAGTGCCATTTTCTATTACCTATGGTTGTCTTTCTTTGAGAAGATTGGTTTAATAATCTAAAACATTTAAGTTACCCAAAAATGTAAAAAAAAAAAAAAATTTAATTGAGACAATAGCTTTCAAAATTATCTGTAAAGTTTCATTCTTTTGACTGTGCCAAATAAATGGCTTTGAGCTTAATGGCTAGTCAACACTGTTACTATTTTTCTTAGTCTGTCGGACTTGTAATCGAAAGAAAAAAAAAAAAATCAGGCAACTGATCCTTGTTAATGGTATATGGACTGAATTCATATGGGGAGTGGTGGCCTAGTGGTAAGGGCATAAGGCTTGGAGTCTGGAGGTTGTGAATTCGAAACCCACTCCCAAAGACTTCCACTCTGATTCTCAGAGCAAGACCGTTAACCCCACAATGCTCTCCGGGCTCCACAAATGGCAGCCCACTGCTGGGTTGGATTAATTGCAGAGAGTGAATTTCATTGCGCTGTACTTGTGACAGTGTAATGAAAATTTAAAAAAACGCAGGAAAAATTCATTTACTGGTCTCAAAGTGGTCAATAAGGCTCAACCTTTTACACACATTCATCCACCGGTATGCAGAACGACAGACAAGTTGGGGCTAAGTGCCTTGCACAGTGGAACATTGACATGTGATGGAAGTTCAATCGGGATGAGTTGGCCAGCTATGTGGTCCTCTGGAGCTAAGGAACCACAACAGTCGAGGGGGCAGCATGCCACTGCTAGCTCAGGAAAAGAGCTGAGGAGTACAGGGGTAACTCAGAGAGGCCTGCCAGGATACAGAGCACAGATGGCACAGAAGAGACTACAGCTGGCTAGCTAGAGAATAACCACAGAGGATTGAGGTTGATCAGATTAGTCCATCACTCGAAGTAGCATGAGCAGGAAGAGGCAAAAGCAGGCCAAGGCTAGACTCTAGAGGCTAAATGATAGTGATGGACAGAGGACCGCTGAGGATCAGAGGAGTCTGCAGGTGGGGTGAGCAGCCGAGGAGGATAAGAGAAGGGATTTGGTGGCCTGTGTCTGTGCTGG